TCGACAGATCCCACACAGTAATCATATATTCACACAGGAGACAGACACTCACTCAATAGAGAGATACTCACTCTGTAAACAGATACCTAAACAGTATACATACTCACTCAATATACTCAGACAGTAGACAGATACTCAACTCATTAGAAAGATACTTACACCGTAGATACTCATTCTTGTGATAGACAAATACTCACTCAGTGGACAGATACATCCAAGAGACTCTTACTCAATAGAGATATACCCAGTAGACACTCACCCAATCAGCAGATACACAGTAGACACTCACCCAATATACATACTCACTCAATATACTCAGACAGTAGACAGATACTCAACTCATTAGAAAGATACTTACACCGTAGATACTCATTCTTTGGATAGACAAATACTCACTCAGTGGACTGATACATCCAAGAGACTCTTACTCAAATCCAAAACAGTACACAGATACTCACCCAGTAGACAGAATCTTTGTCAGTAGACTGATACTCACCCAGTAGACAGAAACTTACCAAGTAGACTGATACTTACCCAGTAGACAGATACTCACCCAGTAGACAGAATCTTTGTCAGTAGACTGATACTCATATACTCAGACAGTAGACAGATACTCACCCAGTAGATAGATGTTCATCCAGTAGACAGATACCTACACAGTATACATACTCACTCAATATACTCAGACAGTAGACAGATACTCACCCAGGAGAGACTCATCATGTACACAGATCCAACACAGTACACAAATACTCACCCAGGAGACACTCATCCTGTACACAGATCCAACACGGTACACAGATACTCACCCAGTAGATAGATGTTCATCCAGTAGACAGATACCTACACAGTATACATACTCACTCAATATACTCAGACAGTAGACAGATACTCACCCAGTAGACAGAATCTTTGTCAGTAGACTGATACTCACCCAGTAGACAGAAACTTACCCAGTAGACTGATACTTACACAGTAGACTGATACTTGCCATGTAGACACTTAGACAGATACTTACTATGTAGACACTTACCCAGTAGACATAGACTGATACTTAACCAGTACACTGACAATTACCCAGTAGACATAGACTGATACTTAACCAGTAGACTGACACTTACCCAGTAGACATAGACTGATACTTACCATGTAGACACTTAGACAGATACTTACTATGTAGACAGATCCTCTTCCATTAGACAGATACTCTTCCATTACACAGATTCTTACCCAGTAGACTGATACTTACACAGTAGACTGATACTTGCCATGTAGACACTTAGACAGATACTTACTATGTAGACACTTACCCAGTAGACATAGACTGATACTTAACCAGTACACTGACAATTACCCAGTAGACATAGACTGATACTTAACCAGTAGACTGACACTTACCCAGTAGACATAGACTGATACTTAACCAGTACACTGACAATTACCCAGTAGACATAGACTGATACTTAACCAGTAGACTGACACTTACCCAGTAGACATAGACTGATACTTAACCAGTACACTGACAATTACCCAGTAGACATAGACTGATACTTAACCAGTAGACTGACACTTACCCAGTAGACATAGACTGATACTTAACCAGTACACTGACAATTACCCAGTAGACATAGACTGATACTTAACCAGTAGACTGACACTTACCCAGTAGACATAGACTGATACTTAACCAGTACACTGACAATTACCCAGTAGACATAGACTGATACTTAACCAGTACACTGACAATTACCCAGTAGACATAGACTGATACTTACCATGTAGACACTTAGACAGATACTTACCATGTAGACACTTACCCAGTAGACATAGACTGATACTTAACCAGTAGACTGACACTTACCCAGTAGACATAGACTGATACTTAACCAGTAGACTGACACTTACCCAGTAGACATAGACTGATACTTACCATGTAGACACTTACCCAGTAGACATAGACTGATACTTAACCAGTACACTGACAATTACCCAGTAGACATAGACTGATACTTAACCAGTACACTGACAATTACCCAGTAGACATAGACACACTCACCCAATCAACAAATACACAGTAGACAATCACCCAATCAACAGATATACAATAGACACTCACCCAATATACATACTCACTCAATATACTCAGACAGTAGACAGATACTCACCCAGTAGACAGAATCTTTGTCAGTAGACTGATACTCACCCAGTAGACACTCACCCAACCAACAGATACACAATAGACACTCACCCAATCAACAGATTCACAGTAGACACCCACCCAATCAACAGATACACAGTAGACACTCACCCAATCAACAGATACACAATAGACACTCACCCAATCAGCAGATACACAGTAGACACTCACCCAATCAGCAGATACACAGTAGACACTCACCCAATCAACAGATCCCACACCGTGTACATATACTCTCAGTATACATATACTTGCTCAATAGGCAGATATTCACCAGGTAGACAGATACTTACTCAATAGACAGATACTCACTCAATAGACAGAAACTTGCTGAGTAGACAGATATTCACCCAGTATACAGATACTCACCCAGTAGACAGAAACTTTGTCAGTAGACTGATACTCACCCAGTAGACAGAAACTTTGTCAGTAGACTTATACTTACCCACTAGACTGAAACTTATCCAGTAGACTGATACTTATCCAGTAGACTGATACTCACCCAGTAGACTGACACTTACCCAGTAGACATAGACTGATACTTAACCAGTAGACTGACACTTACCCAGTAGACATAGACTGATACTTACCATGTAGACAGATACTCTTCCATTAGACAGATACTTACCCAGTAGACAGAAACTTACCAAGTAGACTGATATTTACCCAGTAGACAGAAACTTACCAAGTAGACTGATACTTACCATGTAGACAGAACTCATCCTGTACACAGATCCAACACAGTAGACAGATACTTTCACAGTAGACAGATACTAACCCAGTAGACAGATACTTACCAAGTAGACTTATACTTACCCAGTAGGCAGATTCTTACCATGAGTAGACTGATACTTCCCCAGTAGACAGATAGTCAAAAATAAGATATTTACCCAGTACACAGAAACTTTCCAAGTAGACTGATACTTCCCCAGTAGACAGATACTAACCCAGTAGACAGATAGTCAAAAATAAGATATTTACCCAGTAGACTGAGACTTACCCAATAGACTGATATTTAACCAGTAGACTGACCCTTACCCAGTAGACAAAAACTTACCCAGTAGACTAAGACTTACCCAGTAGACAAAAACTTACCCAGTAGACTGATACTTACCATGTAGACAGATACTTACCCAGTAGACAGATACTTACCCAGTAGACAGAAACTTACCCAGTAGACTGATACTTACACAGTAGACAGATATTTACCATGTAGACAGATACTCTTCCATTACACAGATTCTTACCCAGTAGACTGAGACTTACCCAGAAGACAGATACTTACCATGTAGACACTTAGACAGATACTTACCATGTAGACAGATACTTACCAAGTAGACTGATACTTACCCAGTAGACTGGTACTTACTATGTAGACAGATACTCTTCCATTAGACAGATACTTACCCAGTAGACAGATACTTACCAAGTAGACTGATATTTACCCAGTAGACTGGTACTTACTATGTAGACAGATACTCTTCCATTAGACAGATACTTACCCAGTAGACTGATACTTACCCAGTAGACTGATACTTACCCAGTAGACAGATACTTACCCAGTAGACAGATACTTACACAGTAGACTGATATTTACCAAGTAGACTGATACTTACCCAGTAGACTGGTACTTACTATGTAGACAGATACTCTTCGATTAGACAGATACTTACCCAGTAGACAGATACTTACACAGTAGACTGATATTTACCCAGTAGACTGATACTTACACAGAAGACTGATACTTACCATGTAGACAGATACTCTTCCATTACACAGATTCTTACCCAGTAGACTGATACTTACACAGTAGACTGATACTTACCATGTAGACACTTAGACAGATACTTACCATGTAGACACTTACCCAGTAGACAGATACTTACACAGTAGACTGATATTTACCCAGTAGACTGATACTTACACAGTAGCCTGATATTTACCCAGTAGACTGATACTTACACAGTAGCCTGATATTTACCCAGTAGACAGATACTTACCCAGTAGACTGATACTTACACAGTAGCCTGATATTTACCCAGTAGACTGATACTTACACCGTAGACTGATATTTCCCCAGTAGACTGATACTTACACAGAAGACTGATAATTACCATGTAGACAGATACTCTTCCATTACACAGATTCTTACCCAATAGACTGATACTTACACAGTAGACTGATATTTACCCAGTAGACAGATTCTTACCCAGTACACAGATTCTTACCCAGTAAACTGAGACTTACCCAGAAGACAGATACTTACCATGTAGACACTTAGACAGATACTTACCATGTAGACACTTAGACAGATACTTACCATGTAGACACTTACCCAGTAGACAGATACTTAACATGTAGGCAGATACTTTTCCAGTAGACAGATACTTAACATGTAGGCAGATACTTTTCCAGAAGACAGATACTTACCATGTAGACACTTAGACAGATACTTACCATGTAGACACTTACCCGGTAGACAGATACTTAACATGTAGGCAGATACTTTTCCAGTAGACAGGTGCTTACCCAGTAGGCAGATTCTTATCATGTAGACAAATACTTATCCAGTAGACAGATACTTACCATGTAGGTATATACACTTCCGGTAGACAGCTGCTCACCCAGTAGACAGATATTTATCATGTAGGCAGATACTTATCCAGTAGACTGATAATCACCCAGTAGACAGATAGTCAAAAATAAGATATACTCACTCTATTAATAGATACATACTCTCTCAATAGACAGATACTCATTCAGTGGAAAAAAAATGACTTGAACAAATTAGGACAAGTATTCAATGTGTTCGTTTTAGCTGCAATGTAGGTGTTAATACTGGCAATGTAGGTGTTAATACTGGCAATGTAGGTGTTAATACTGGCAATGTAGGTGTTAATTGCCATCTCAATGGAAAGCATTGTTTACTCCGGTGATAAGTGTGTGTCAACCACTGTTAGCATTACGTTTGATATGATTGTCCATATAGAAAATAGGTGTATTGCATAAACTTACAGAAAATCTGTTACACAGTAGCTATAGCCTCTAAAGTACAATCTGCTGTCATAGAACAATGTAATATAATCCACTGTTGTATAACCTATTGTGATAAACTTTACCTATTATATTCTACAAGATTATTACAAGAGTTTTTACGGTGCTGTAGGTTATAGTGAATCAATCTGAGAATAAGGTGAATAATAGATATGTTAAGACATTCAGGAAACAGTGTTAATATTGACGTGGAATTATCCTCCGTATTTCATAAAGAAGCAAACTTTGTTTGTTCACATTTTGTGTTTTTGTTCTGACAAATAATTTGCTAACACTGTGAAATTGCATATTACAACCAGAAAATTGTCAGGATATTTCATCAATAAATTTGTGTTAAAATTTGATGATATTGTCGGGTTAGAAATTAAGTTGAACAACATACCTACTTTCACATTCCAATGTGTATCACCAGTGTATTGATTGTGATTCTGATGTTACAGAGTTTGGGAGTACAAAGACTGGAGAGCAGACGGACTTTATCAATGTGGTGCTCACCTGTATTCTACAGACCCCCCAGCATGTCCCAGTCGACATGCGCTTTGATATTCTGGTGCTGGTAAGAAGAACCAACTTTTACATCAGTTATACTGCACAAAATATTACGCTTTATGTTATTGCTGGGAACATTAAAAGTAATTTTCCTGAAGGTGCATCTTTTCATGGATTCTAATTAAAACAGTCTTTTGTCATGATTGAAATACGCTCTAACATAGTCGATGTCAATGCAAGCTCAGATAAGATGCTTCATCAGTTCACATAAACTTTTCCTCAAAATATTTAAATTATATCTGCTTTACAAAAAAGTCACCTTCATAAGAACAATTATGGGTGTATTTTTTTGAAGAAAATTAATTTAAAGGAAATTATTAATTTTGCGTGCAGAGTCTGGGACTGATGATCAACTTAGTGGAACACTGTGAGGTCAACCGTAGACGTCTGATTGATGCCAAAACAGAATCACCCTATGAGTTTGAGAAACACCAGAAAGACTTACTGCCTGCTGCGAAGGCCCTAGTCCAGGTATGATACAAACAAAAATGCCATCCTATAGAATGTGTATAGGGGCCAATCACACTGGAGTCTGAACAATTCTGGGTGATATGGTAGGTATTTGGGGCAATTTACTTGGAAATTAGGACCAATCACTCGAGTGTCTGAATACTTATGGGTGAAACTTAAATGAGTGTTATAATTTTTCTGGGGCATTCCATTCAACTCTGAGGCAAGGAATTTTACATCTAGGCCAGAGAGTGAGTGTGATAAATAATTTTACTGAGGCATTAAATTTAATTCTTTGGCCAGGTTCATCCAGGACTGAATTTATCTATCACAATTGTTTTTAGGTATTTTGTCATCGGTACGAAATAGCCAAGAAGATGGAGGAGCAGGATTTTGGGGAGCCTACCACCCCTCAGGCATCACCCAACAAAAGTGGCGAGTGGAAGGAGTCTGACTCTGGGATAGAGTGGGTCATCAACTCAGCCAAAAAGGCCAAGGAGGCAGAGCGGGAAGAGAGGGCCAATGATGACGACACACCTCTAAAGGAGAAACTCAAACAGAACGAAGAGGATGGCAAAAATGCTAACATAGATGATGAAGAAACATTCACAAAAGGTTACTACTAATGCAGTGTTAAAGAATATCTTTGCTTGCAAAATTCATTGTTTGACTTTGAAGTTGAAATAGTTTTTAGCTTACCAGGAAAAAGGACTGAGCTTATGTCACAGAACAGCATTCCTTGTCCATCCGTCCATCAATTTTTCCTACTTTAAGATCTTGTCCTTCTGAACGACTTATCAGATTTCAACCAAATTTGCATTCTTGGACTATGTGTCACCTATGGGGGCAAAGGGACAGGACCCAGTACGGGGAAATTGGTGAATTACAGCTTTTAAAAGACGAGTTCTCCTGAAGGAATATAAAAATTGTAACCATAATTGGTTTGAAGCATAGCTGATTTAAGGTGATCCTATTTTGTATTAATGAAGCTTGTACAACCCCTGGAGCCAGAGGGGCGTGGCATAATGATGGTCCAATATACCCCAACCAATAACTATATTCAGGTGTTAGGCATGAAGAAACGAATATGCTCATGTCCTCCGGGTCTCTTCATCTCCTTGGGATAAGTCTGTGTTTCACTTTAGCTTATTTTTCTTGAATGGATTTAGATTGAAACTATAATTCCAGGTGACCCATGAAGGTTCCTTGGTCTCTTTTTTAAAACATATAACCAACAAAAAGATAGTCATTCTTCCAAAAAAAATAATGCACTGCAATCGTCTTTTCTTTTTGTTATTTAAATTTTCTGGTTATTACATTTTTAAAGCATAAAGCATGAAAAATGTAATGCATTATAAAAGGGTGGAAATCAGAAGCGTAATAATTAGCGCCATATTCAAATGACATCACGCTTGACAACAAGGCTGCGCGCCATTTGAATGGGATGCTCAACGCAATTCCGACGTTTTCTGGTATAACTGCTGATAAAAATGTTAATAATTGCCTATTTATGTAAATACTTAAGTGTGTGTACCAAACATTTACCATAACAACCACTTATTCTACCGTCGCTCTATTTGAATCTAAACAAAAAATTGTTGTCTTTGAATGCAGTGAATAGAAGATACTGAAAATATCACTTTTGATATTTGTCACAGTGTGAAAGATATCAGTTTGATCAAGTTGATAGAATCCAATATTTCACTGTCAAACATGTGTTTTAATTAACTAGGGTAGTTCATGATATGAGATTCGTCTGCACAATTATAAGTCTCTAATGTGAGCTATAATTCTAAGTTACAGTATGGAGTTAAGTTTGGAGCTGACATGTCAAGATTGTAGGTGACTTTGTGAGTTTGGAACTGACATTGTGAGTTAAGAGTTGACATTGTGAGGTATAAGTTCACATTGTGAGTCCAGAGTTAACATTAAGAAGTTGAAGTCTGCAATATTGGATTTGCTTTCCATGGCATTTTAACCATAACATCTAAAAAAAAAAAAGAAAAAAAAAGGGGGCTGTGTAAGGTTCTTATATATTACTAATTTTATTTTGCAGCTCTCCACAGAGCAGGGAAGCACATGGAGAACAGCATTGTAGCATCTTATGTAGCACTACTACTGGGCTGTGTGATACAGGACAACACGGTAAGTGATCAGGCCTGTCTGTGTGTTAAATAGTAATAGGCCTCTGTGTGTGGTATACAATAACTGGGTCTGTGTGTATGGTGAACAGTAACTTGGTCCATGTGTGGTGTACAGTAACTGGGTCTGTGTGTGTGGTGTACAGTAACTGGGTCTGTGTGTATGGTGTACAGTGATCAGGCCTCTGTGGGTGTTGTGTACAGTAACTTGGTCTGTGGGTGTTGTGTACAGTAACTGGGTCTGTGTGTGTGGTGTACAGTAACTAGGTATGTTTGTGGTGTACAGTAACTGGGTCTGTGTTTATGGTGTACAGTAACTGGGTCTGTGTGTGGTGTACAGTAACTAGATCTGTGTGTATGGTGTACAGTAACTAGGTATGTGTTTATGGTGTACAGTAACTGGGTCTGTGTTTGTGGTGTACAGTAACTAGGTATGTCTGTGGTGTACAGTAACTGGGTCTGTGTGTGTGGTGTACAGTAACTGGGTCTATGTGTGGTGTACAATAACTAGGTCTATGTGTGTGGTGTACAGTAACTGGGTCTGTGTGTGTGGTGTACAGTAAGTGGGTCTGTGTGTGTGGTTTACAGTAACTGGGTCTGTGAGTGGTGTACAGTAATTGGGTCTGTGTGTGTGGTGTACAGTAACTGGGTCTGTGTTTATGGTGTACAGTAACTAGGTATGTGCGTGGTGTACAGTAACTGGGTCTGTATGTATGGTGTACAGTAACTGGGTCTGTGTGTATGGTGTACAGTAACTAGGTATGTGTGTGGTGTACAGTAACTGGGTATGTGTGTATGGTGTACAGTAACTGGGTATGTTTGTATGGTGTACAGTAACTAGGTCTGTGTGTGTGGTGTACAGTAAATGGGTCTGTGTGTGTGGTGTACAGTAACTGGGTCTGTGTGTGGTGTACAGTGATCAGGCCTCTGTGTGTGGTGTACAGTGATAAGGCCTATATGTGTGTGGTGTACAGTAACTAGGTATGTGTGTGGTGTAAAGTAACTGGGTCTGTGTGTATGGTGTACAGTAACTAGGTCTGTGTGTGTGGTGTACAGTAAATGGGTCTGTGTGTGTGGTGTACAGTAACTGGGTCTGTGTGTGTGGTTTACAGTAACTGGGTCTGTGTGAGTGGTGTACAGTAACTAGGTCTGTGTGTGTGGTGTACAGTAACTGGGTCTGTGTGTGTGGTGTACAGTAACTAGGTCTGTGTGTGTGGTGCACAGTAACTGGGTTGTGTTTATGGTGTAAAGTAACTGGGTCTTTGTGTGGTGTGCAGTAACTAGGTCTGTGTGTGTGGTGTACAGTAACTAGGTATGTGCGTGGTGTACAGTAAATGGGTCTGTATGTATGGTGTACAGTAACTTGGTCTGTGTGTGTGGTATACAGTGATCAGGCCTCTGTGTGTGTGGTGTACAGTAACTGGGTCTATGTGTGTGGTGTACAGTAACTGGGTCTGTGTGTATGGTGTACAGTAACTGGGTCTAAGTGTGTGGTGTACAGTAACTGGGTCTGTGTGTGTGGTGTACAGTAACTGGGTCTGTGTGTATGGTGTAAAGTAACTGGGTCTAAGTGTGTGGTGTACAGTAACTAGGTATGTGTTTATGGTGCACAGTAACTGGGTCTGTGTTTATGGTGTACAGTAACTGGGCCTATGTGGTGTACAGTAACTAGGTCTGTGTGTGTGGTGTACAGTAACTAGGTCTGAATGTGTGGTGTACAGTAACTAAGTCTGTGTGTATGGTGTACTGTAACTGGGTTTATGTGTGGTGTACAGTAACTAGGTATGTGTTTATGGTGTACAGTAACTGGGTCTGTGTTTATGGTGTACAGTATCTGGGTCTATGTGTGGTGTACAGTAACTGAGTCTGTGAATGGTGTACAGTGATCAGGCCTCGGTGTGTGTATGGTTATCATGTTTGTGTGTGCATGACTTAGTGATCCAGTTTCTGTGTGCTATACATTACAACCTCATTGTTGACTGGTATAATGATATTACTAACAGATCTAGGGTTTGGTGGTAATGAGATGATTTTAATATCTTCTTTTCTTTCACAGATGTTTGTGGACAACATAAAAGTATTCCTCCCGAAAGGCAACTTTGATGACATGATAACAATTCTGAAGAAATTTTTAGGCTTTATGAATTTAACTGTGAGTATATTATATTAACTAATTATGTTACTTCTGCTGCTAGAATTCTTATTCTTTGCATAAGGCCAAATGAAATTAATTACTTGGTTCTCGGGGCAATTTTTTTCAAAAGAGATGCGGCAGGGCGGTATATATTTTTTTCATTTTACATGGCAAAAACGAGACGAGGGCGATTATTTTTTTATTGTGTAGTTTGTAATACGTTCATTATGGGCATTACCTTGTCTTTTTATAGTTGTGTAGAGACCCGTCATAGGGCAAGCCTCCGAAAATCCCCCCACGATTGTTCCAGACGAGAATCACGAACCCCCCCATTCCTTATTTGTACCGAAATGAGTGCCATTTGTACACAAGACTAATAAGTCATAATCTTTTTAACGCTTGCCTGTATATCAATCCTTATCTTTATTCAAACGTTTTCGGGACTTGGGTGGCTAATGAGTAAAAACGACATGCGGACCAATTTTCCGGATTTAGATGGCGGCTGGAGCATTCACAATTGTTTTTAAATTACTTTCATGATAAAATCGGCAATGCGTTGCCCTAAAATGAAATGCGCGCGGGTCTGAAAACCAAGTATTCAATTATTTTTGGCCTAAGTCTGTCTTAATCTTCACTTTATGCAAGTGTAACCAAATGATATTTTCGCACAGGTAAAAGTATGCAGTGTATGAAAAAGTTTTCCAGGAAATAGTTTAGATCTGATGCTGTCTGTCATGACTAAAACATGTGTTGTTTGCTATTGTAGACTGCCATTGGAAGCACAGGAGGGAAATCCATAGCACATGTGATTGAGGTACTGGAGGGCTGCTAGCGACACCAGTTCACTCATCACTACATGTCGGACAGAAAAAAATAAATAAACAGCTGGCTGTATTTAACACATTTCAATATATATGTCCTATTTCCTATAAGATTGAATCTTATTCTTGGCTAGGAAATATGGAAATTGTGATAGTAAAATAGTTTTTCATTCATTCTTGCATTCATATATTGGATATGTGGCAAAAGTTGTGGTGATGTTTTTCTAAAATATGGACATACTCCAGTTGTGAAAATGAATAACATTTTTGAACTGAAACTGATGTGAATTAAAAAAATGTTATAAATTATGAATGTTCGATAGATGATGACCGGATAGCATTTTTAAACATCATTTGTAAACATTTCAATCACACACGTACAATAGCAATTTTCATTAATTTACACATTCATGAGAATGGTACACTTTACCTTATCTGTATAGTTTTAGTGTAAAGATTTTTGTACATAAAAATCTTGTAAATGTAGATTGATAGGCATTAGTGTGCCGTTTTACTGTAGGATGATAATAGGAGAGGTGTGTCTTGATGAGGGGCGTGTCCTCTGTTCTGTGGTATATAGTACAGATGAGGGGCGTGTCCTGTGGTATATAACATAGCGAAGTGTACCGTTTTACTGTAGGATGATAATAGGACAGGTGAGAGGTGTGTCTTGATGAGGGGCGTGTCCTCTGTTCTGTGGTATGTAGTACAGGTGAGGGGCGTGTCCTGTGGTATATAGTACACATGATGTGCGTCTCCTGTGGTATATAGTACACGTGATGGGCGTGTCCTGTGGTATAAGTATAGTTGAGGGTGTGTCCTGTGATATATAGTACAGGTGAGGGGCGTGTCCTGTGGTATATAGTACATGTGAGGGGCGTGTCCTGTGGTATATAGAACAGGTGAGGGGCGTGTCCTGTGGTATGTATGTATGGTGACTATAATTTCTTACACTGAATGGAACAGATGTTTTGTTTGTTGAAAAGAAAATGGACTTAAATATTGCTTTAATGACATGCATTTCAACAAATAATATAATGTTTTGTTGGAATCTTTGCTTTGTATGTAGGTCTTTGATAACCACCTTTGAGGGAGCATGGCTAATGAGTATCTTTGGACTGAAGAACTGTTCACTTTTGACCAGAGTGTAAAACAGCATCTCTGGCAAGACTGAGATATCAGCAACTGTTTCGGTATTTTTGGGGAATGTCTAATCTGAAAAATAATCAATAGAACTAGACAACTAGCAGCACCCTAGGGATTTTATGAATGACGAGCACCCTTTAAAAGTGAGTGAATGATCCCCGTTTTTGTATGATTGAGCCAGTGGTTGTAATGTTGTATGATCGACACCGTTTCCATTGAGAATTACAGTGCAATCAAGGCATGTTCTATTTCCCTGTATCAATAAAACTTTGATTAATATAGTGTGTGTGGTGCAGGTTAGAGGAAGTTAGAAATAGGGTTTGAAGAATGGGAGTATTTTGGAATGAAAATGTTGTGAAATCAAGTGGCCTTTCATTGCTTAAATATCATTAAATAAATGTTGTTGTTTTTTAACCCCAACTCAGTTTCATTTACCAGATTGTAAAACAGTTATACAAAAAAAATGTCCACAGACCTGATATGACCAAATTCAATGGGAGTGGATTAAGTAAGGGTGAGCAGTTGATATTTTAGAAACAGAATTTCTAATAAAAATGTACATAATCCTGTGATGACTTTAGGTAGGTTCCTGAGGGAAGTGCTCTGTACTCGTTTTTCCATGTGTTTCTCCCTGTGTTTTCTGTGTCTATAGCTGGAGCCAGGTCACACCATGTAGTCTTCAATATCATATGTTTGTTAACAACATTTCATTAACATTTTTTTTATTTACACATTACACATTGAGAAAAAAAAAGAATAAAAACGGTAACGTTTTCTCCAGTGTTGAGAGTAGGGGTGTGCTGGATTTTGATTGTGTCGACCTAGATTGTGGTATTTTTCTGTTTCCGCAGGTACATGGTTTTGTTTCCCCCCTGAGTTTCTCACCTTTTGATGTTACGCCATGCAAAACTTTGTATTTATGTACTGTATAGATCTTCAGTATCATAAAATGAATAAATATTTTGAAATACTGGAATATGTTTTAATTATTATTTTTAGGTCACCTGAGCTTTTAGCTCATCCGTCATCGTGTGTCGTCCGTTAACATTTTATATTTTCAACTTAAGCTGAAATACTGGCAAAGGGATTTCATTAATATTTAATGGGAAGGTTACTGACATCTCCCTGACCAAGTGTTGTTATTTTTCGGGTCGATCAGAAATCCAATATGGCCGACATGGCCGCCATTTTTGAAAAAATATTTCATCATGGTCCTGACAAACTTAAGCTAACGTTATACTTTACTATCTTTACTCAAATTGGTACATATTTCAACAACAAAAATAAATACTGTAGGACTCGGGTGACCGTTAAGGCCCATGGGCCTCCAGTTAAAATCATATTGCATGTCATTGCAGACAAAACTTAAAAAGTTGGAATTTCATATTAAATAAACTATATGACAAACTTTACATGGTAATAAGTTCATAATTGGGGTTTTTAGGTCACCTGAGCTTTAGCTCAAGTGACCTATTGCTATCCGTTTTCGTCCGTCGTCCGT